TCAACAAGTAATAGTTTGATTCAAATATTTCTTTAAAAAGTTTTTAAAAATCAAATTTTAATTCAACATTTTAGGACTAATATTGTAAGAAAAACAAATTAAATTAATACAAAAAACTGCATTTCTGATTAATTTCCTTGAATTATTTCCTCTGCTTAAGCTTTCTTTACGTAACTCATGCATTATGAATTACAATATTTCAATTATTTCTTAAATCATGATTTTTATGAGTAAGTACTGATTACATCGCAGTACTCGAATTATAATACTCAATTATGACTCAAATTTTTAGTCATAAATATAACTAATATCTAATATGATTCTTTATATAGATGTGCATCTATGAAAAATATCTCAAGTATGTGTACAAAAATAGTTTATATTTTATTCTCGTAATATTTAGACTCCGAATTTGTTGCTCTTTTGTTTACTAACGCCAATTAAAAGGAAATATTATTCACTTCAGATATTATTCAGTTGCGAGCTTAATTTTAGCACTTAGTGTAATTTTATTATAAAAGTTCTTAGCTCTAATTTTTTTAAAGTTAATCAGTCGTTGCCAGGCAAGTAAGTATACTTTCATTCCTTCTCTTATATCCACTGCAAATGATTACTTTTAATTGTAAAATAATTGAAAAAATTTTCTCAAACATTTTTTCAAATAAATAAAATTCTTATTTTAATTTTCAAAATTTGACGAATTTAGCATACTTTTTACAGTTTGAACAATTATATTTTGGTAATTTTGTCAAATATCAATCAAATCTTTGCTTTTGTTATTTTACTTTAAGTTAGTACTTAATAAGCTATGCTAATTTTGATGGTTACAGATATTATCCTTCAAAGTTAAAATAATAGAAAGTGTATTGAAATTTTTAGCAAAATTACCTCAACTTTAAAAAAATATGCGTTCAATATTAAAATAATTTTAATTAATGAATTCCTTACTAGATCAAAGATAATGTGCTTCTCGTACCAATCACCTATAATCATTGAGTTATTGCTATTCTCGTCGCTAATTACCAATACAGCATATATTATCGAAGCTTCTCACTCACGTCATTCTTGGTCTGATTTGTGCAATCAACTTTGACCCTTATAATTTATTATTTTCATTACACAAATTAACCTACACTTTCCAGTTTACTGAATCATTTTTCAAATTCAGTTTAGCAAATACAATTCAAAACCTTTACTGATCACTTTCAACTGCTTTTCAATATGTAGCTGAATATCAAACCTTTTTTCAATTTTAGCAAAACAAATTATTGCAACAAAATTAAAAACTAAGTTTTTAGTAACTCTTCCATAATAAATTATTTTAGTTTGCAATCATTTCTGCAAGCAAAATTAGATAATATTTCAGATAAAACCCTTGTAATTAAAACATACATTTCAGTGAAAACAAAGTATACTTCATTTTTCACTCAATATTGTTTTGCTGTTCCAATGAACTTGTAATAATTTACCAATTTTTATTATACTATGCACAAGCACAATCAATCTTTAGGTTAAAATTTATTAAAAATTGCATGGCTAAAAGTAAACTTTAAGAATCAATTTTTGCTAGCACATATATTATCCTTCATGGCATTGAAGATAAATTTATTTGTTTAGATTATTTTCAAGAAATATTAAACTCATCTAGCAATATTTTTGTCATAGTTAATTACAACAATGCTTATTTTCGGTTTCTGTCACCTAGTCACTACAATAATTTTCTTGGTAATTCTATATGGGCTATTGGGGCAGTGGCATTTATGAATCAAAACATTGCTTTAACAGTTTGCATATTAAATCGTTTGGTCATTCATACTTTCAATACTGACATGCAAGCAGTGGTTTGGATTAATAAACACTTCTTTTAAATATATTTTTTAAGTTAAATTTTTCGGAGATAAAAGTGGCAGAGTTTGAGGTTTACTTTCCTAATAATTCATCAAATAAACTTAGTTTAATTTTAACAACAATATATCTCTTCTAATATTATAAATCATAATTCAACGGCATATTCATCAAATGTACAAGACCAAAAACTGATACATCAAAATTGCAAAAATTATTCACAATTGCTTATAAGACAATAAAATTTTTGACCTACACTATCCTATCCTTTTTAAAGTAATCTCTCATTAACATGCTATCAAATTGAAACCAATATTAGTATGTATTCAATTATGGAGAGACCTTTATTATGAATTCATCGAAAATTTCCAAAATTAATTTCTATTCTGAATAAGATAATATAAGCATGAATAGAATTCAAAAAGTTCAGCGGCAGATATATAAAATTAAGTTTTTTTTTTTGATTTTAAGGTATGGAATCACTATGTTCGTCTTTTCGGTGTGTTTGTGCAATTAAGTTTTCCATTATTAGTGGTAGGAGCAATATTGCTTGAAGGACCCAGAATCGATATAGTGCCATATAGATGCAACCAAACTTCCTTCCACTGGCAAAATTACAGACTGCAAGTAAATTTTTTGTACTTCAGAAGATTCATTGGTGTCTAATACCAAATGAAAATCCGAAATCTCAAAAAACAAATTCTCATGTAAGCTTAATAATTTGTCAAATCAAAATAATCTCAAAAATTCACAAACAAACTTAGTATTTCATCAACAATTTATTTAAAATAACTACTCAAATTTGCTAACAAACAATCTCAAGTTTTCAGGCTGAATATAGATCTCTTTGCGAATTAGTACTATCAATACTTTACTCCCTATGTACACTAGCTTTCTTAATGATTGTTATCACTGTTATACTTCGCAAAAAGCGACTAACTCCTCAGATTCTGTAAGTTTTCTTCAAATTCAATATTTCACCCTTAACAACTGCTAATCAAATTATTTTTGAATTACATACATGAAGCAAAAATTTTTCAGATCGAATCATGTTGTTTATGCTATTGATAGCAAACAAGAAACAGAACTTCCACCTGAAAGATGTATGCAGCTTTATCCTACATCAAATATTTTTAAAACTCAAACCTTTGTTAATAAAACACATTTCTGAGACTCCAGATAACATTCTTCACTGTCCTATTTGACGGTTTCTTGTAAACTAAAGCCTGTAATGTAAACTATTTAGATCAAATTATGTAGTTTTATACAAAAAAAAATCAATGTGATTTTTTCCTAATTAAATTGATGGTAGTTATTAAAAATTTTTTTGAATCAAAATAATAACTTCGGCAACTATTGCTATTTTCTTAGCAACATTTTTTTTTCAGCAATAACAACAATTGCCTATAGAAGGAACGTTCGAGTCACTATAAAATGTTATAAAATAATCCCAACATCCATTCTTTTCATCAACTTCATTGCTCATTTATATTGTTGGAAGCAAGAAATAGTAAGCAATATATCTATTAGACTGAAAATTCTTAAAAACAGATTTTCCTACATTTGAAAACACTTAATGAAATAGCATTTATTTGAGCAAGAAATCTTAGTCACAAAAAACTCATCTACAGATTAACAGTTCAAGTACAAACTAACAGTGCAAAGACGCTTTATATGATAATTGCAGATAACAAAAAATGTGCTGCAAGATATATTTCTAATGGCTAATTTGTTTCCAACGCTCATGCTTTCATACTGGTTCCTCATCTACATGAACCAACAATCCACCAGAATTCGCAAAATTACCGACACCATTCGCAAGTATAAAATTTTCAACAAACGTCGAGTGAGTGAAGGTCAGACCACCTTCCTTATCTTTCCAGAAATGACTAAACTATCAGTCAAAAGATACCAGTGTCCGGAATACTTACAAAATCTTTTGATATCCAATTTATATGAAAAACATTAAGTATTAATCAACTTCTCAACAAAATAATACAATTAGATCGCTTCGCAGTTGGAATTCGGAAAGAAGGACGGTCCGACCCAACAAACAGTAACTTCTACTTCAATTTCTCGATCGAGCAATATACATCTGACAACACTAACCACAAAGAAACACCAGAACCGCAAGCACTTCCAGTTGCAAAGAAAACAAAAGTTTAATCTGAGCCCCAATCATTCTGAAATAATAGAAACTTGCAAATAATCATGGAACGTAATAAATTTCTGGAACATAATGAAGTCACCAAATAGACGACGAATATTTGCCAATTATTTCATCAAAAAACTGATCTACTCTTCTCCACCCAAAAGTGAAATACACCACGATACTGTTACTTTGTAATAAATATTTTATGATGCACGATATTTTGAATACATTTAGTTTATGCATCTCAACAATAAATTGTACAGAATAAAACTACTTTGAAGCCAAATATTTATCATACGCACACTAGAGACATGATAGAATAATGTAGAAAGAAATAAACTATGCTCAGAAGAGATTGCGGAAACTTTCAAAACTTTCATAATGGATTACAGAAACCACTCCATATTTTCTTTTAACAACTTGCTACCAAACCAACTTCAAAATTAAAAACATTAAATAATAAAAGTCATACATGAATACTGATTTTCTAAATTTTACATGCCTATTGAAACATAAATTATTTTTTACGGACTGAGTATAACTATAAAAATATTTAACGTATCTTACAACTATTACAGGAAAACCTTAATAACTTAAAAAAATTATCTCGTCAAGATTAATAATAAATACCATTTTTTTCGAAGAGTAATAATTGTTGCAACTGAGAGAATAACAGAGCTATGAAAATTATTTTACTTTTACAACATTTTAAGGTATAAAATAGCTTTTCTGCATTTAATGAACAAGTTTTATAGGATACTTATAGCTTTAATATTTAAAAAAGTCAATTTCATGAATAAATCAATCAATTTTTGCACAACAGTGAAAAAAAACATGACACGATGGAAAAAGTTTAGGAAATTTTCAAATTTTTTGTTGTTTATACATTTATCTTTACAAAAATCTTTTACTTTAATATTCATATCAATGTGCTTGCTTCAATTCCGGACTCGAATCAAAGTGATCTTCTTTCTTGATAGAAGCAAGATAAGAGTAAACACAATTACTGATAATTCAAATTTTCCTCTTCATCATAGACTTCTTCATACTGATGCTCATCGGACAACTGAGTTCGACCAGAGTCCTGAATTCACGTAAGCTTAACTAACAAAATTGTATTAGAAATTTCTTACCACAACGTTTTCTTAAATGTAATACCCAGAATTGCAATTCGACATCATATGTAGAAAAAGAGTAGAACATCTTGATGTATAGCAAAAAAAGATGCAGAAAAAAAATACCCGAAGTTTGGCATTTTATACTCAATCCAAAACAAAAACAAAACCTGAATATTATAAGCGACCTGTCTATTCATATTTAAAGCTTTTTGTTGTGAACTACTGGGGCCCGGTTGAACACTATATTGTTGTACCGGTATGCGAACAGTACGGTATCCACTTGAGCTTGGAATATATTTCTAAAAATTAGATAAAAAGTTACTCAAAACACAGTTACTAAAATCAATAAATATGAAGTATGAGCATGGTGGTAACAAGTCCCGCGCCTAGTCTATACATGACAAATAAAAAAACTGATAAGGCTATAGAAAAAGACCGAATTTGAATCGGTATGATGAGAACTGGAGACAGCAACTGTTCGTGGAAGTACGGGTGCAGAGGTAACTCGGACTGAAGATAATGTTCCACGATTTGGTACCTGATAACTATGTGGAGTGTTTGCTGCTGCATGCCCCATCCGCGTACTCGAAGCTAAGGCATAAACAGCACTAAAAATTATTTTACAAATCTTTCATTAAGAACACTAATAAGACCACGAGGTATTTCACAGATTACAAAGGGAAAGCACATTTAAAAAACTTTTTGTTGAAATTCATAAAATAAATCGTAGGTGAAATTGAACTTACTGTCTATCGTGTGTTGTATCAACAGCTGGGACAACATTTCGTGAATTATCATACGCATTACTTAATGTTCCTTAAAAATTCGAAAAACACTATTCTAATATCAAGAACAAAAATCATAGAAAAAAAATAACGACAAATGTCAAAATAGATAAAAATAATAATTTTATAACAGAACAAATGTAAGTAAATAGAAATTAAAAATGAACCTACAAAGATAACGCTATTGACTTCTGATAACTTACCATCAATAATTTGGTCAATATAACTGCGAAGAGAAAGAGGCAAATATGATTTGATTTTGATGCGATTGGCATCAGAAACTTCACCTCGTTCTAAACCATAAGCAAGTCCAAGTCGCTTAAGGACTTCAATATCATCGTGAATTTCGAATGGCTGATCAAAATTGAATAAATATTCAGTCCTCAAAATATAAGGATATTTTGAACTGCAGATTGACGTAACCAAACACAAAAATCGTAATCGATTTGCAGGAGAAATTTCAAGTACAATAATGAAAAATTAGATAGTTAAGACCTTAAAATTCATTACTCTTGTTCACCGGAAAATAATAGATAGATTTTGAAATGAACAAGATGGTCCGATTGTAGAATGGTGCAACTTATATTGCATTTTTG